AAAATCCCAAATGGCCTCAGCCCAGTATACCTGAAGGAGCGTCTCCACCTCCATCGTTCTGCACAGACACTGAGGTCCACCTCCGAGGGCCTTCTGGCTGTTCCCTCACTGCAAGAAGGGAAGTTACAGGGAACCAGGCAGAGGGCCTTCTTGGTAGTGGTACCCACCCTGTGGAATGCCCTCCCATCAGATGTCAAGGAAATAAACAACTATACAACTTTTAGAAGACATATAAAGGCAACGCTGCTTAGGGAAGTTTTTAATGTTTGATTATTTATTATGTTTTATATATTCTGTAAGCCGACCACAGTGGCTGGGGAAACCCAGCCAGGTCAACAGGGCATAAATAATAAAATTCATTCTTATTCTTATTCTTATCATACAAAAATAAATGGTTTAATTGCAGCCCTAAACCCCTCCTTGGTAGACCCCATGTAATCTTCTTGCACCACACCCCTTCATCAATGAGGTCTTGCACAAACCATTCTTTCTACAGCAGGGGGAGAAACCTTTTCTTAATACTCCGCCTGTAGGATATACTAAACATATTATACAGTATGAAGAATAGGTCAGAGGTGTTTTTAAATTCTGGAGAAATGTTATAGTAATAAAAAGAAAAATGGACTTTAAATAATAAGAAAGGGAGAATGAACTCTCCCTGTCACCCCTTTTTTCCTTTCAGTTGGTTTGGTCTGTTGCTTTTCCTCTCCTGCTCTGTTTGCAGGGAGCCCAGATTGAGACGGGCTTGGTTGGGAGTTGCGTGTAGGTGAGGAGGAGTTGCAAGCTGGCTATTTCCACGTGTCAGCAGTTGCCTTTGATATGCAAAAGCATGTTTTGGGTCTTGTAATTGTATTTGGGGGCTCAGCTGGTCACTTCTTCTTCCTCACTTACTCAGAGCTTGCAAGGTCTCTGCTTTCAGTTGTGCCAGTTCTAAAGTAGATTTTCTAGATAAATTTTGCCAGTGTTTTTTATGTTTAATTTGAACATGAAATGTTTGTGTAGGGACACTTTTTTTTTAAAGGCCTTCTCTTCATTAATGCTGTTTGGAATTTGGTTGAGTAATGCTTGATATATAAAATACAAACTTTTTTTTAATGGTTTTAATTAAAAGGAAGTAAATTGAGGATGGAAAGGTTAATGTGCATATATGCTGCCATTTCTCTTAGAAATGTGGCAGGTGGCCTGCCCAACCAGAAATGTGCTTTGTCTCTTGTTGCCTTTTTAAAAAGTATTTTTATTTAGGTACCAAAAGATACAGAACATCAAAACAACTGCTCATAAATAGTAGAGGGAAGGTCAGATACTAGCAGTGTGGTGGCCTGGGTGGGTGAGAGGGGGGCATTCTTTTCTGCAGCTCCAAAGTTAGGGAATTTCCTCCCTGCAGTGGGTCAGTGCATCTAGCTGTTAACCAGAAGGTTGGGGGTTCGAGCCCACCCAGGGGTGGCTGTGGGCAGGATTTCTGCATTGCAGTGGGTTGCACTAGATCAGGGGTCTGCAACCCGCGGCTCCGGAGCCGCATGTGGCTCTTTTACACCTTTGCCGCGGCTCCGGGGCGGATACTAGCGAGGGGAGGAGGTGCATTGTGTGCCCCGACACTCCCCACTGTGGCGGGCGCTGTACTGGCTGTGACGTCGCATGGGGGCGGTGTGTGTGTTAGTCACGCACTGTCCCGACGTCACCTTCCCGCCCGCCCACCCGCTCGCTACATTGTAAGGGGCATGTACGCTGGTCACTGCATTGAAAGGGGGCATGTACGCTGGTCACTGTTTTGAAGGGGAGTGAAGAACACACACACACACACACAAAGGTAACTTGTTAATTTAACGTTTATTTCTATGAGGAGGAGTAATTCTGAGGGGTCAAACAAAGAAATAATAAAGTGACAAAAAAGTTATTTTTATAATGATGAGTTTTGCGGCTCCCAGTTGTTTTTTCTTCGGAAACGGGTCCAAGTGGCTCTTTTTGTCTTAAAGGTTGCAGACCCCTGCACTAGATGATCCTTGAGGTCCCTTCCAACTCCATAACTCTGAGATTCTGTGTCTATGCTTTGACTAGGCTTTTGGCAAACGTTGAAGGCTCACTACTTTACTCTGATGATAATCACCTGCGTAGTGTGTCTTCAGGACCCTCCCTATTCCTGTGACTAATCTGTTTTAGCTGTGTTTAATTAGGAATTTCAAATGGTTTTAGCATGCCCCGGAACCTGCTGTTGGAGGGAGGGTAATGAATTTAATAATAAAAACAATATTGTTGTCTTTGTAGCCTTAGTTTCCGTCGCTGCCATGGCCCTGTAATCAGTCAATATATTCAGAACTTCTGGGATGGGCCGGAAAGCATAAATGCTTTAAAAAGAAACTCCGAGAAATGCTTTTGTATTGTTATGTGGTTCAGAGACCTTAGTGCTGTCTTATCATTGCTGGGGTTTGGGTTTCTTTGAAGGGGGGTGCCTAATGAAAAGTTGAATGTAAGTGGGGAGCAAATGTAATTTGTTAGATGTGAATACAAGGCACAAAAAGAAAGTTAGTAGAGAAGTGTATTAAAATAAAAGTAGTAGTGATAATAATAGAGCGTGATTATTAGAGTACAGATTCATTTTGAAGGATTGATGTCAGTGGAGAGAAAGCTAACTGAGGAGTCTGACTCTTAATTTTTAATACTGCTTTAGTGAATAACAGATGTATTGTTTTGGTTTGAGATTTCCTGTAGATGTTCCAATTCCATTTACTTCTCAGATGTGTGCATTCTGTTTATTAGAGCTAATTTGGATGCTTGGTAGTACCAAATTAGGAAGTCCCACTCACCCACCGAAAAGCATAAAGTCTGTAACATCAGCAGATAAGTTTAACTTGTGTGTTGTATCGTGTATTATGACACCCTCCACAAGTGGTTTGTCTCTAATTTTTTATATACGATGGGTGTTTTTCATTACTATTTTGCCATATTTGTTTTTCCTTTTCCCCTTTTTGTTACTAAATTTGCAAATTAAAAATAAAGTTTTAATTTTTATAGCCAAGGTCTCTACTTATCGTCAAAAGTTCCAAAAAGTAGGGGCAAGAAAAGGCCCCTCTGTTTTGTGTGTCTATCCCAACCATGATTTCTGATTATAGCCTTACTGCTTTTCTGTAAATTATGTAGAAGTTGAACAAATTTGGAATTGAACCAGTGATGCTATTTAAGCTTATTTGCCAGTTCTTTTTCTGAAATAAAAAATCATTAAAGTATTTAAATCCTCCCTCTTACAAAGCCCACCTGATTTTTGCCAACCAGGTGAGGCGTTAATTCTGTTAATCTGTCTGCATGAAAATATTTTTGAATCTTGATTAATGCAGTTGAATGGTATGAGTCTAATAACAGGATCTTTGCCAGGTTTTGGTACCATTACTAACCTTGAGTCTTTCCAAGTTTCTGGAATTTATCCCCCTTCTTTTTAATTCAGATATGATGCCAAGTTTCTTTAAAATGTGTTGTTTAAAAGTCCCATGAACCACCCAAGCCAGGTGTTTTGGATTTTCTTTAAAGACACTTTCCATGTATTTTTTAAAATCTCCACCTGATGTGTGTTAACTGACAGATCTTTTAAAAATATTTTTTATTGATTTCAAAAAAAACAGAACAATGTAGAAGATGCATACATAACAGAATCAAGCGTGCGAGAGAGAGTGAGTGATTAAGACTAGAGTGAGCATATGTTGATATTCTTGCCTTGCAGGGGTTGGACTAGATGTCCCTGGGGGTCCCTTCCAACTCTACATACAACCCTAACTCTTCCTCTATGAAAAAAAATTCACCGCATGCCACTATTCAGGTCCCCGCCTCCCAACACACTTGGCACCTCCCCAGCATGTTGCTGTGTATCTCCTCACTTGGAGAGGGCTAAGTGAGTTCAGAAGACACGCTAACCCTAAGGAAGACTGCCTTTTGTTTCATTTTAAAGCACTCTAGTCAAGTTAGACATGAACCCTCCTAGGCCTAGCAAAATTCTCGCCAGCCCACAATCTGTTGGGAGGCCATAAGGGGTTGCAGAGAGCCTAGCCAGTGTGGCGCAATGATTAAAGTATTTGACTAGGGCCTGGGAGAGCAGGGTTCAAATCCCCACTCGGCAGTGGACCTTGCTGGGCCACCTTGGGCCTAACCTACTTCACAGGCTTGGGGGGGGGAGAACCATAGACCCCCCCCCAGGGCCAGATTTAGGTTTGATGAGGCCCTAAGCTACTGAAGGCAATGGGGCCCTTTATATGTCCAGCTGTCCTTTGTCAACAACAAGTTGCCGCTGTTTTTTGTGTTGCATATATTCTATATGGTAATTTATGGACCAGTCCATGCAGACTGTAGGCACCCTATATATCGAAATGAGCAAACCAGTGATATTTTAGGGAGCAGGCTAGCAGGCGGGGCCCATTACTTACATCACAGGAGCCTACACAACACAATTTATTTTTGCTGTATGTAGGTTTTGTTTTACTTGTTTTTTATCTTCTATTTTGGAAATGTACATCCAGGTTTTTTTCCTTTAAATTTTTGGGGGGCTCCCAAGAGAGTGGGGCCCTAAGCTATTGCTTGTCTAGCTTATATGTAAATCTGGCCACTGCACCCCACCTTGAGACCATTGGAAGATAAAAATGGTAGTCATACCTCGGGTTACAGACGCTTCAGATTGCGTTTTTTCAGGTTACGGACCGCTGAAACCCGGAAGTACCGGAATGGGTTACTTCTGGGTTTCGGCGGTCGCGCATGTGCAGAAGTGCTAACTTGCGCTTGGCGCATGTGCAGAAGCGCCGAATTGCAACCCGCGCGTGCACAGACGCGCCGCTGTGGGTTGCGAACATGCATTCCGCACGGATCACGTTCGCAACCCGAGCGTCCACTGTATATAGATGTAAATAATTAAAGAAATAATAAATAAATGTCCCCAGACCCCCCCCCACACACTTCAGGGGCGCCAGTGACCATTGAGTATTTGTGGTGCCGCAGGAGCCGCTAGGACGATGGTGGATGTAGGGGGAGAGAGACCAAGGAAGCAAGCCGCCTGTGTTAACGTGTGGGGCCCTGCGAGTGGCGCACCCTGGCGCGAGGGCGTTCTCCCTCGGGCGGTTGTTGTGGGACCGCGAAAAGCGCTTTGAGAGCTTGAGCAGCCATGCGCCTCTTTGCAGCATGTGCGCCAGGCTTCTGTTGGAATTGGTTGGTTTGGCTCGAAGGATGCTGCGTTCCGTTGGGCCAAGGTGGCGTCATTCCGTGGCTCCGGAAGGGAGGCCTGCAGGCCCGGCGCATCGCTGCGCCATCTTGTCCGTGGAAGGATAGTGTGTTTGACCTTTGTTGTCGGTTTAAATCCTTTTCTGAGGAAGGTCTGGTCAAGTCAGCGGCGTTTGGGTTCCTTTCCCCCTCCTCCTTATTTTGTTACTAGGAGCGGGCAGGTGTCCCTAAGGCTGGGCCCACACGCCCCAGCAGTCCTGAATCTCTGCCAGTAACTCCTGCTTTTGTTTCCAGGTCGGGGCAAGATGGCGAGCGACTGGCCCCAGGCGTCCCGAGTGCCCAGCTTTGCCCAAATGCTGAAGAAGAACCTGCCCGCCCAGCCGCCGCCGCCGCAACCTTCTCTGCAGGCCTCGGCTCCCTTGTTTCCGCAGGCAGAGAGCGCCAAAGCTATGTTTTTACCGGCAGAAACGTCGAACATTTCCGCCTTGGCTTCCAAGGTGACGAACATCTCAGGTAATCGTATGGTGTTGGTTTTCGTAAACAGTCGTTTTCGGCTGACGGTCTTGGAAGGCCTTTTCCTGTTACGTTGGGAATATCTGAAGGATTTTGCTTCTGTGTGGAGGAAAAGGCAGTTTCTGGCAGTTTTCTTGAATAATTTCTAACCCAGTGTCCTCCCCCTCCCTCTCTTTGTGGCCAAATGCTGGCCAAAATATCTGGAGGTGGTGTGCCCTGGCCCCTCCAGATGTTGCCATGCTGTCCAAGGCTGATCGGAGTTAGGTCACATCCGCACGGCATATTTTAGAGCCCTTTTAATTCTGTTTTAACTGCCATTGCTTTGCTTGAGGAATCCTACAAACTGTAGTTTTGCACTCAGAGCTACAGTTTCCAGTACCCTTACCAACTACCATTTCCACACTTTGGGTAGGGCGGGTGAGCCATAATTAGTAAAGTGGCATAAGTGTTTCAAATGTGTTTCAAATAAGGCTATTTCCTATGTCTGATGTGATTGCAGCCAAATTAGCATTTTTAACTTACTCTGCTGGTCTTAACCTGATCTGTGCTCTTCCAGATTTCTGCTGCTGCTATTTGTTTTTGTTCTCCAAAATAATTTTTGCTTTTAAGAGCAAGGTTTCTTCACCGGTCTGGCCAAAAGAAAAGATACTCATTGGCCATCTGAATGTTGTGTGAGTTTATACCTCTTAAGACCGCATACCTGTGAAATCAGAATTTTTGGAGACTCAACAAAAAAAAAAAATGTGTGGAGAGAACATTGGTTTTGCTTATCTTAAAGCTACTTGTTCAAAGATCTTCCAGTTAATATCTCAATGCTTCATCATGTTTTATTGGTTTTAATATATGTTTTTGTTTTAATAATGAAAACCCCTATTGAGACAAGGAATCTAGATGCATTGCTATGGGATTGTGTTCACAGTTCTTTAACAGCCCCACATTTGTGTCTTTCTTTTTAAATGTTTGTCTTTAAAGTGCCTGAAGTCCCTTAATTATATGTGGAAATATCCCAAGAATTCCCCAGTATCCATAATAGGCTTTATGTGCAAGCAGTCTACAGTTCAATCCCACTCCACCTGATTGACTCTAATTACCTTGTTCATTGGGAGAAATTTCACATAAATGTCATATATAAAAACTTCATAAAGTAACAACCCTGAAAATAAAAATAGCTTTTAAAAAGTTGAAAAATATCACGATGCTTTTGATAAGGTGAAGAAGCACTTTCTGAATAGCCAAAAATGAACTGACAAAAGCTGCCAAGCAAATATTTTGACTTACGCTAACTTTGATCTGCAAGTTTTAAGATATTATCAACTTATGCATTTTAGGTCAAGTTCCTGACTGCCTATATTCCAAAGCAGGACCCATTGTTCCAATCACGTCACTTCCTCCCAAGAAAATTCCGAAGGAATTTGTCACAAAATATAAACGAGGGGATATAAACCCAGTGTCTGCTTTGCATCAGTTTGCACAAATGCAGCGCGTACAGCTTGAATTAAAGGAAACAGTAGCAACAGGTAAATATATATATATTTTAAATAAAATCACTTTCTTGGGAATCCACTCTATTCTAGTACTGGGACGTTACAGGTGCTGTTTAATAGGTGGAATTCAAAGCTGCCATATAATATTAGTTTGGTCCCTCTGTTATTTCAGTGGCTGCACCACTTGATTAAAATTGACCCATGACATACTATTCCTTGGTTGCCATTTAGATATTTTGCAGCCTTTCCTATGCTACCGCCATTGCTTCATAAAATGTTGGAGAGGTCACTTGCCTTTCCTTGGTTGCAACTTGGTATCCTCATTCCCTGCTCTAGAAATGCAAAGCATAAGTCATAATGTTGGGAATTGGTGAAATCAGTAACTCCATCTAAAACATTTATCTAGAAGAAGTTTCTGTTCATTTGACAGTCCCAAATAACTGATTAGGAACCCAGTTTAAATTGGAAATGAAAACAATATTCAAATTTATGTCATACTTGAAGTTCGGTGTCACAATGATATGACAGCTGTGTCTTGGTTTGGCTGGAGAATGAAGATTAGGAAAGAGCAGCGCTGTCTGCATATCCCTGGAATGGTTGGTTTTCTACCAATATTGAGCTATTAGATACAACGGAATTCAAATTTGGTGAAATGCAATATTCATAAATTATAATAATATAAAACTTTTACAGTTGCATTTGTCTAAAAAAAGATTTCCTGTGGCACTTTTTAAGGTAATCTCTTGGGATCATACTTTGCATTTTGTGCTGTGGTTGATGGCATTCAGTATAAGACTGGATTGGGGCAAAACAAGAAGGAATCAAAATCCAATGCCGCAAAACTTGCTCTTGATGAATTACTGCAGCTAGATGAGACAGAACCAAAACCTCTAGAAAATCCAGGTACTTTTGCTACTATGATGTTTTTCTCTTCACTGTCAGGTTCAGGGGTGGGGGAACAATGTTATCGTAGACTAACCCAATCTTTTATTCTTTATTGGGGCCCTAGCGCTGGGGATACTGAAAAGAGTGGTAGATAGTACTGTATCTTCTTGCCCCCGTTTCAAGTAGCACTGCCATGTTTTTGAATCTTATAGTGTCTATGACGTGTGTCGGAATATTCCAAAGTTTTGGCCCCACATGGTCTAGTTGTATTGCAGACAGTTGGTGTCTGGGGTACTTTGACTATTCCAGAGACCAGTTGTGTTGGTTTGTAGCATATATTGGTTAAAGGAGCATATATTTCTCTTAAGTAAAATGTTAGGTTGTTCTCATTTTTTCCAATTTGGTATCTTTGCAGGTCCTCCCAGGAATCTTTCAGAAACTACAACCGTAACTGAACCTCAAAGAACAGCTGAAGCTAGCTACATTTCAAAGTTTCCTTATGGTAGGCATTTTCTGTTCTTCTATCAAATGTATGATCGTGCATGTTCATTTTTTATCACCAAATAAACTGCTATTTCCATAGCACAGTTTACAACGTGAGCCACCAACCCAGCGCTTGGGGTGCCAAGCAAGACCTTCATTGGTGCCTTAACATCTGCAGGTGTTGGTTTGGTGATCACTGTATAAAGTGTAGAATTGTTAGGCTTATAAAGATGGAACTTTGTTGTGGCATCTCAAGTTAGCTGTCACTCCGGTTTTTTCGTTTTTGCTTTGTTTTTGGTCAACTAAAAACAACAATTATTGGTGATATAACCAGAGATGCAGTAGGCTACATAATCTAGTGAATGGCATGGAAGAGCTGTTGTGTAAAGATAAGCTTGCTTGTGTACTACTTGTATATTCTTAAGAAAGCAGATCATTACTTGAAGTACTCTCTGTGGACGCCCAAGAGAAGGATTTACCATTCCATACTTATTGGCAAAACCTATTGGCTGTTTCGCAACTTTCTGACTAGTTGCAGGACCTTAGCCAGACCTAGCAGAGTAGACGCAGAATCCACGGAAGCAATTGGCAACTTGGCTGCAGACAGGATAGACGAAGCAGGAACCAGGAACTTGTAGTTAGGTGTTTATTATATACAGTGGACTATTTACAGGAACAGAACACAGATCTTTTGCTAGCTCTCTCTGACACGACTCACAACTCCTACACTGACACACAGAACTCTGAACACTGAACTAACACATTCCAGTTAGTAGGCCATTAATTATCACTCCTTTGAGAGAGCTTGACCAATCAGGGAGCTGTCTCCATGTCTCTGTTATCACCAGGCAGACTTACTCCTTCACATGACCTTCTGGCTGTCTGCCAAACCTTAATTGTCTCTGTGTGAGTAGTTGCACGTACACAGTTTCCCAACAATACTTCCTCCTTATACCAAGGAGAATAAACGTTCATGCACACTATTTTTCCCATTTAGTGATGATTTCCAATATTTCTAAACAGTTGGTTTTGATTCTTTGCTTTTTCTTTATAACTTTACTAGATGGGCTGCATCTTGCGTATGAAAAAATTTCTCAAGCTGTCAGGGAAACATTCAACAGTTTGACTGCTAAATATCCAGAGTACCAGAGTTGTAGCAGTTCGCTGGCTGCTTTCATAATTGAAAGAGGTAAGCATAAACGTTGTTGTTGTTTAAATTGCTCTAGGGCAGCATTGGCAACTTCTGGTCCCCATAAAGCCGCCCTATCCCCCCCCCCCAAGTGATGTGGTTTGGCTCAAACCATGCTCACTTGTTCATCACTGAAAGTCAGGCATGGGACTGGTGAGGATCTAGCGTCAAATTCAAAAGGAAATATTGAGAGGTTCTGTCGCTTAGGAATTTGGCCCATACAGTGGTACCTTGGTTTAAGAACAGCTTGGTTTATGAACAACTTGGATTAAGAACACCGCAAACCCAGAAGTAGGTGTTTTGGTTTGTGAACTTTGCCTTGGAAGCAGAACATGTTCTGCTTCTTGTTGAGTGTGTGCCGTTTGTAAATTGAGTCCCCCGCTGCTATGGGAAAGCACACCCTGGTTTAAGAACGCTTTGGTTTAAGAACGGACTTCCGGAACGGATTAAGTTTGCAAACCAAGGTACCACTGTATTGCCTGGCTTGCATCTTACGTATGATGTTAAGTGATGGATAGGCCTGTCAAACTGGCCTACAGGGAGCTGACAGCTTGTGGCTCCAGTCCTTTGTTCAAATTCAGTTCTGCACCCCTGCTCTAGGACGTATCTCTAAAAATATCATTGAATAAAAAGAAAGCTGAATTCCAAAATGGGCAACTAAATTTCTCAAATGTTTTGTTTGTTTGTTTTTAGTTAGACAGCATGAAGTGGTAGCTATTGGAACAGGTGAATTCAACTATAGTCAATGTGGTCATCCAGATGGGAGAATATTGCATGACTCTCATGCTGTTGTTACTGCAAGACGCTCTCTTCTTAGGTAAAAAAAATAAATAACGTTGCTGCTGTTTCTCAAATTAAAACTGCTGCCGGGTACACTTGTACCATGCTTTGGAGGGCTAAACTGGTCAGGGACCCATACCAGGGGTCTACTGGACTTAAAATGTCATGTCAAGAATGCCCTGGGCCTCCCAGCCAACTGGGGACTCCCGCCCCGGGCCTCAGACCAGCTCTTCCCGGGCCTGCTAATTCTTGGGAATATGTAATTTGACTCTAAAAGTAATTTGACACTAAAAGTTTTGTGTTCATCCTGGTTTCTCTAATGCAGATTTTAAATGCATCCTGTGTTGTATCTGCTTCTTTCAAGGTATTTTTATAGGCAGCTTTTGCTCTACTTCAGTAAAAATGCTGCCATGATGGATAAGTCCATATTTTGCATTGAGCCATCTTCAAACTTGCTTGCGCTAAAACCAAACGTAAGCATATTTCTCTACATGAATCAGTTACCAAAAGGATCTGCTCAGATTAAGTCCAGGCTGTAAGTATTAGACATTGCAACTTTACAAATTTTAATTCATGCAGATGCATTTTTCTCATTAAGGTGGTTTTATATTGTATTTGCTGCACAAGGAAGTAATATTGATTAGTCTGATTTGTAACACATTATCGCAGAGGTTTGCAGTTACGATTATTGGAAGGCCAACCTACTGAAAAGAAAAAGGGAGAGTAACATAGAAGTGATGCAAAATCAAATTTAAGTGTAGCCCAGTTCATACAGATAGCTGATAATTTTGTTTTCACAGCTTCGAACATCTATCTTTTGATTTCCCCCCGGCACTGAGTTAGTGTAAATTTACAGTGCTTTGTTCACAACTGAAGGGATAGAACTCTCTTTGATAAATTAACTCATATGCAATTAGCCAATTATTACCAAATATGTTTTGCTTTTGTATGTATGTATGTATGCAGACTTCTACCCATTTACAGTAGGTTTTTCTGGGCTGTGAACCAGTCATTCCACAGGAATAGAGTGCACTTTTTGGTGGGCACCACCTGTTTCAATCTTGGAAAGGAGCTCCCTGCCTTCCCAAACTGGCTCTGTTCATATTGAAGGATGAAGACTAGCTGTTGCAGAATCCAAGCCTTAAAAGATTCCCCTTGTTGGCATAGCTTCCTAGTGGTTGAGAAGGGGTCCTCTTGAAAGAAATAATTGATATTGTGATTGTGACAACAGTTATGAATGTGGACCCTGTCCTGCTGTGTGTATTTCCATGTATTAGCAATCTATTGCTTGCCAGGGTGATGGCAAAAGGTCAGTTGGAAGCAAATCACATACTGCTGATAGCTCCCTATTAGCCAAAGATACCATAGTTCTTTGAGCTGTTGACCTAGCACAAAAGGAACCTTGGCAGCTACCTTTAGTTCCTGAGAGGTGCTAAAACTGTGTTCTGGCAAGTTCTGGCTGGAAAAAAAGCCCTGGTATAAAGGCATCCACTTAGAGGCTGACTTCTATTTTGCAATGACTGGGGAAACTGCTATATCTTAATTATTGTGCTGTATACTTAATTATAGACGCCTCAGTCCCAATTCTGCATCTGCATTTGAAGCTGATGAGGAACTGTGCCTTCATGTCGCTGTTGAAGGCAAGGTTTATCTCACGGTCTACTGCCCTGCTGAAATTTCTAGAATAAGCAGCATGTCTGCTAGTGACAAACTGACAAGATGGGAAGTACTGGGTGTTCAGGGAGCCCTGCTAAGTCACTTCATTCAGCCCGTTTATGTTAACAGGATCATTGTTGGTAAGTGAGTGACTTCTACATATTAAATACTGTTAAAATGCAACATAACAAATCACATACTTTCACGCTTGTCTGTTGGGTTGATAAGTGGCCCCCAAAACAGAACAGCTTCTGAAACATACAGTGACATGAAATTTAGCTTTAAGTTTGATAACTGTCCTATCTTTTTTCTATTCAAAGTATTTAACCAGCTTACAAAATTCAGTACTAAAATATAAAATGACATTTTAAAAGCCTTTCACAACCTAGTGCCCTCCAGATGTCATGGGTTACAGTTCCCAGAGCCCTGGTGGGACCCGTAGTTTGAGATATCAAAACATAGTTTTGAAAAATTTTGATATAGAGGTTGAAAGCTAAGTCTATCCAATCTCTGGGCCAATTGACATGAAATCAGTTCATCTGGATGCTACACTCGCATGGTGTCTGTACTTTTATTCTGTACCCTTTGCATGAAAAGATCACCTCTCTGCCATTTCTGATTGTGAACACCAGTAATTTTTGAGAGAGAGTTCCATGTTTGTGAACACTTATGCACAGGGTAGAAAGCTGCAGTTGGTGTAATAATAATAATATTATTATAATTTATTATTTGTACCCCGCCCATCTGGCTGGGTTTCCCCAGCCGCTCTGGGCGGCTTCCACAAAGACCAAAAATACACTAAGATGTCACACGTTAAAAACTTCCCTGAACAGGGCTGGCTTAAGATGTCTTCTGAATGTCAGGTAGTTGTTTATCTCTTTGACATCTGATGGGAGGGCGTTCCACAGGGCGGGCGCCACTACCGAGAAGGCTCTCTGCCTGGTTCCCTGTAGCTTTGCTTCTCACAATGAGGGAACTGCCAGAAGGCCCTCGGCGCTGGATCTCAGCGTCCGGGCAAAACGATGGGGGTGGAGACGCTCCTTCAGGTATACTGGGCCAAGGCAATTTAGCGCTTTAAAGGTTAACACCAACACTTTGAATTGTACTCAGAAACATACTGGCAGCCAATGTAGGTCTTTCAAGACCGGTGTTATGTGGTAAACTTCCTAGTGCACATCCAGTATGCACCTTGTGTGTTTAGACCTGAGTCTCTCCTTTCAGTCAATATTAAATATTAAAACACTGGCTGCTTCCTAGTATCTGCGTTCAGTGTGCTACATGTCTCGTTAACTTCTGAAAATTAATGTTCTCTGGGAATGGGGCTTAAAGCAGAGAGTAAATGGTAACTGTGCTCTCCATAGAGCAACGCTCCAGAGTCTAGAAGCATGCCTTGATCTTCTCTTAATATTTGGTGTGGTTCTTAATGTTTTTTAGGGGATGGGAACTGCCATGATACTCGAGGATTGGAAATAGCTATCAAACAACGGGTAGATGATGCTCTCACTTCAAAACTGCCCATGTTCTACATGGTGAACAAACCTCGCATTAGCTTGGTACCTGCTGCTTGCGCTGTACAGGTAGATTTGGAACGCAGATCTCTTAGTTTGAATTGGTCCCAAGGAGACTTGTCGTTGGAGGTCGTAGATGGGCTAAATGGGAAGATCACAGAAAGGTAAATGTTTATAACAAAAAGTACATTAAATTGAAAGAAGCACCTTAGCTTAATCGTCCTCTGTTCAAAACAAGTGGGAAGTTATTCTCATGTGCTCGGACCCTGCTCCTGCCAACCTAGCAGTTCGAAAGCACACCAAAAAGTGCAAGTAGATAAATAGGTACCACTCTGGTGGGAAGGTAAACAGCATTTCCATACGCTGCTCTGGTTTGGGTGTTCCATTGCGCCAGAAGTGGCTTAGTCATGCTGGCCACATGACCTGGAAAAACTGTCTGCAGACAAATGTCGGCTCCCTCGGCCTGTAAAGCAAGATGAGCGCCAAACTCCAGCGTCATCCGCGACTGGACTTAACTGTCAGGGGTCCTTTACCTTTACTTTTAATCTTGGTTATGCATTCTATAAAATAACTTTGAAACAGAGGCTTCTAGTTTTCCACGTAACCCTAAAACCTGTTAAGGATTTTCAGTAACTTTGCTCTCTATAACTAGTTGAATTCAGACAAATAACCCCTAGTGTGCTCTTTATCCATCACTATTTTTCATACCTAGTTCACCCTTCAAAAGTGGAATTTCAATGGCAAGTCGTCTTTGCAAGGCCGCGATGTTAAGTCGTTTCAATTTAGTGGTTAAAGAATCAAAGAGAGATGATTTACTTAAAGCGGGCACATACCACGAAGCAAAGGTAAGACTTGATGAAAGGAAACTCGCTGTAAGCACAGATCTCATGAAGTCTATTTTGTTCATTCACTGAGTTCAGAATTGGTTTGGTTTTAACGCTAGCAAGGGGAAACAGTATCCTAGATCTTGTTATTTGAATAGCTGTTAATCTAAAGTTCACAGTTCAATAGTATTCATTAATCTGGAAAGTAATTCAGTAGTATACATGGTTTTATTGTATTTTAAAACAAGAGCACATCGGTAATTTGTTTACCATGATACAGGGAAGAAATTTAGTAATCTATCCATCTGCTTTAACCAATGTGTTAAATTGGCTTTAATCCTGTATTAAAAAGATAGGAATAGCATGATAAAGTAGCTGATAGATCCTTGCGCCCTCTTCAGCTTCGAACTGTAGAAAGGGTTGGGGCTGGGAATTAAAGGCAGTTTGCACAGGTAGGAGAATGTATACTCCTGACAGGAGGCTTAGTTGGGTCAGAATTGAGTGTAAACTTCCAGAGTTAGTGCTAAATACAGTAATTCTGCTAAATGAGCCACACAGCTGCTAAAAGGTTGTGAAGGTTGACAGTTCAAATCCCCACGACGGGGGTGAGCTCCCGTTGCTTGGTCCCTGCTCCTGCCCACCTAGCAGTTCAAAAGCACGCAGTGCAAGTAGATAAATAGGTACCGCTCCGGCGGGAAGGTAAACGGCGTTTCCGTACGCTGCTCTGGTTTGCCAGAAGCGGCTTAGTCATGCTGGCTTCCTCGGCCACTAAAGCGAGATGAGCACCACAACCCCAGAGTCGTCTGCGACTGGACCTAATGGTCGGGGTCCCTTTACCTTTTTACCCATGTACTATATGAAACCAAAGGGGCGCATTGGTTGCCAGATGTGAAATATATTGGCATTATTTTAAGTTCTCCTCCCCAGCTAAGTTATGCAAGAGTGCTGTCCCCAGGGAGGCTTGCTTGTCACCTTATTTAGGCACCAAGTGAAAACATTTCCCTGTAACCAGTCCTTTGGCAGATTAAGCAATTTATGTCTTTTTAAGTATGTTTGTGGCGGGGGGGAGGGTTATTGGTTTTCATTTCTTATATTGCATTTTGTGTTTTTATGTTGTGTACTGCCCTGTGATTTTTGGATGCTAATTATTATTAATAATAATTTTATTAGAGATAAATAGGCCTTTTGGAGCATTTGTATTTCAACAAGCTTGCCGTACACAAACTTTCAAAACGCATTGTGAGGATTTCTTTATACCAACCTCACTGTTAAATTATTAATTGAACTTTCAAAATTTAGATTATGGCAGAGTCCTACCAAGGAGCGAAATACTTGCTGAAAACCTACCTGGAGCAGCATGGTTTTGGGTCTTGGATTGTGAAGTCTCCACGTATTGAACAATTCAGTATGTAAAGATTAATATATCGGCTCCGGAGCTCTTGACTAGTTTTTTGAGTTTCTTAACTTTTTTCATTGGTTAGTAGTTTTAGATCGGTACAGTGTCAACTGATTGCTGAAAAAAATGTACATACGCAAAATAAGTTAGCTAAGTTGTTAATATATGCGGGCCATTTTTATTACTTAAGTCTCTTGCCAGTATAAAGATATCTGGCATTAAAGTATAGTTTGGTGTTTTATGTGTGTTATGCATTTGCAGTAATATATTTTTAATTGATTTCTCATACTTTGAATACGAAGCTTTAAAATAAGTGAGGCTGAACAATGTAAAAGTGGAGAATTGTGTGCTGGCAATAATTATTTTGCCAGGTTCAGTGGAAGTTACCATGTCATCACCTTGTTTTAAAGATTGGTTCCTTCTCTTCTGGCCTTAGAAGCCACAATTTTCCTTATTAATCATCATTAAACTCTGTGGGCTATATATTTTTTCAGTTGTGGGCAGTCAAGTTTAAGCCTGTAGGAAACTACAGCAGTAGAAAACCCCACAAGCACAGTGTCAAACCAAATATGTGATCTACTCATGGTACGTTATGGAAAACAGGCCTGCAAGCTTTTCAAGCCCAGTATTTTGTGCATAATTGTGTTTGCATTTGGAAACAACTTGGAAATTGTATCAGGTGTCTTAAATATTTCATTTGCAATTTGACTTCAGAGATGATGTTGACGACTTAATGTCCTTTTCCCTCTAAAATCCTTAAGACTGAAAGGGTCTTAATCACATACCGTAGTTTGCCATTAAAATTAATCTTTACCCAGCTTCATAAAAGTTGTGTGTGATACATCCATTTCCGAGAACTAGCAAGCTCACAAATGTTCTACTGCTTCTGTGGTCCAAATGGTAAAAATGTGCAAACCAGTAGCCAAAAGGATATATTTAATGCCATTTCATTGAAGTTGGTGTCACCCCTGCAGGAGTTGGTTTATATATGGGCAGGTATCTTGGAAAAGGCATTTATTGTGGTTAAGCTATTTCAAGAGTCATCATAATCTAAGTTTTTGAATCAAAGTGAAGGAAGTTTCATGTATATTGGCAGTCAAATGCTATTTGCCAGGAACATGCTTGGAACTGAATGGCTATAATGTATATATGACTGGAGAGTCTTTGCTGGCCACAAAGCAAAGATGGATCTGTACAGTTGCACAAACAACAGGGCAAACAACTTTTATACCATGTGAAGCCACTGCCCCCCCGAATATTTTCACAGCACACCTTCATTGTGATACTTTTGTGAATGAAACAGGCCTCAGCATCTGAAGACTAGCCTGACCTACGCTGTAACTTTTTTTTAAAAAAAGGGGGTGGTTTGACTCGCTGTTTTCTGATTCACATTTAGAGGCTTTGAACAGTAAGATGAGATTTCTAGTTTTTTAATAGGAATTATCCCGGGTAGCCTGCATGGTGCTTTCCAGTTGGCTTACAATTCCCATCATCCCTGACCACCAGCCATGCTGACTGGGCATACTGGGAGTTGTAAGTTCAACAACATCCGAGGGGCATCACTTTGGCTGCTCCTAAATTAGTGTGTGTTACTGAGCAATAACTTTTAGCCCGATGAAGAAATAAATGTGTTGGGGGTTTTTTTTTTTGTTACATTGTGGGTTTCCCCCCCCCCAATAAAACTTGGGTTTTTTTGCTGAGAATTGTTGTTTGACTTGTGTGGCTTGAAGTAATAATAATGTGTTCCTTTTCTCTGGAAAGCTTGATCCCCGCTGCCGCCCCCGTTCTTAAAGCCTATTGCAACAAATCTATGGAGAGTTATTCTTTTTTGATAACTAAACATTTTCACTGGTGTGCATTCCCACAATGCCAAACTTCATGTGCTCATGCTGCCATGTTAACAACGTCCTCAATATCAAAAGTGTGCTGGGTTCTTCACAGGACACAAGTGACAATAGACCTTGCCCAATACCCCCCTCCTTCATGAACCAAAGGGGGGGGGTATCTAAGGACAGAACAACAAATTATGCTACAGAAGTCGAGGAATTATATTGAGGTGATACTTACGGATAAATGTAGCAGATCATTTGAGGAAAGGCACATTTTCTTCATGTAAACTAGCTAGTGAGAATAATACCTTAATAGTCTGGACAATCATACCTTGAGTTACAAACGCCCCAGGTTACAAACGCTTCAGGTTACAAACTCTGCTAAGCTGGAAGAGTTACCCCGAGTTGAGAACTTTACCCCAGGATGAGAACGGAAATCGTGTGCTGGCGGCGCAGCGGCAGCAACAAGCCCCATTAGAGAAAGCACGCCTCTAGTTAAGAACAGTTTCAGTTTAAGAACGGACCTCCGGAAGAAAATAAGTTCTTAACTAGAGGTACCACTGTAATTACTCTTAATCCATTGCTAGAAGACATGGAGACAAATATGAACAGTGGGCGTGAGAGAAAACAATACAGAAGTAAATCATGAGTCAAACCTAGTGTGGGATGGTCTGTCGACCGTCCCAGTTTTCATGTTTATTTTCCTCCAGGTATTTATATACTGAATCGTTAGCATGTCTAAGAAGTGATATAAGGACTCAGGTTGTCCTCAAAATATTATGAAGGTTTTAAATTAATACAATACATGAAATTGCCCTGGTAATATTGGCAGCCACTGCAAGCTTTTTAAGCACTGGAGTTAAGTGCTGGCGGGAGTCTGTCCCTATTGACAAATATAGCTGCAGTATTGTGCACCGGAGGAGGTTCCAGACAACCCTACATAGAGTACATTGCAATAATCAAGTCTTGAAATTACCAAAACAGAACCCGTCACATCCAGACTATCCTTCCCAGTCCAGATATTGCTGTCATCTATGTACCTGCCCTCACTGCCACTAATGTATTTATTTCATTTCATTTCTATACCACTTTATATTTTTAAGGAAAATCTCAAAGCGGTTTACAGAGTATTAAAACATCAAGAAAACAATCTGAAGAAAGTCAAATATAGAGTATACCGCGAAAGCAACGTAATTAACAGAAAACTACATTATTAAAGATTTCAAAATAAAACATTACAAAGGAGGTCAACTGCGGAACACATATTTAAGACAAACCAAGTTGACAAAAAAAAACCCCAAACGTTTCAAAAGAAAAAACATTGCTAAGTGAAGTCAAATATAAAATGCACATTTAAGACAGCATAATTAACAAGAGTATATACTCTTATAAAGAGTATAAGGCACGGCTGTTTGGCAGGCACCAAAAGATGGGGCAAAAGAATCCAATAGTTAGGGTTTGTTGTCAGGCATAGCAATGCCCCTCTGGTCTCCCTAGGAACCACTTTGGTAGTGCTGGGTGAGTATGGGCCCCACCCCTAGGCCAGGTGGAAAGGGCCTTGCAGGGAGCGGCCTTCACGACTCACAGCTGGGCGATGTCCCTCTGGTCTCACTACATCCCTAGTACTTTTTAAAAGAGAGTCTAACTTCACATCTTCGTTTGTTTAGGAAACAACAACAACAAAATGCAGCCTATTTAAATTATGTGGAAAATGGACAAGGTCTCAATAACAGAGCAACTGGCACCACATGCACACATTAGCAGAAGAAGCAGGGCAAAGACAGGGTGGTCAGTGTCCTCCTTTGGAGAAGACTTGTGTCCATTTGAAGGGCTATCAGAAGGTTAGGATAAGGACAGGTGGCAGAATAAGGACGGGTGGCAGTTCTCTGTATGATGTCCTCTGTTTGAATCGCTGTCCATTCCAAATCTGGTTTAAAAGTAAAGGAGGAAAGCAGGGGCCCAGGAACTGCCCATCAGCAGCCAGTACCTTGGCAGAAGACTGAGCACATGCACACAGGCCCTGGTCCTCCCCACTACAGTGAGATGTATCGTATTCCTCTATAAAATTTATAGAGCGATATCTAATATTAGTCATACATTAAAATAATGCATCCAGCTAATTCAGACTCAGTTTCACCGAAACCAAAGGGTCTACATTATATGACTCAGTATTGTAGTAATCATTTTTAAATGTGGATCTATATACAGCATATATACAGTATCCTCTTTCTTTTTTAAGCCATGTGGCAGTGGCCATTATAAGCAGAGAGATCAATTTCTGTACAGTGGTACCTCGGGTTACATACGCTTTAGGTTGCATACAGACTCCGCTAACCCAGAAATAGTGCTTCAGGTTAAGAACTTTGCTTAAGGATGATAACAGAAATTGTGCTACGGTGGCAGCAGGAGGCCCCATTAGCTAAAGTGGTGCTTCAGGTTAAGAACAGTTTCAGGTTAAGAACGGACCTCCGGAACGAATTAAGTACTTAACCCGAGGTATCACTGTAATTCGGAGAATCTAGGGAAGCAGTTGCAGTAAGTGCTATTATTCAGTCTGTGTCTCAGACTGGCTGCACGATGAGGAGTAGTAGGAGGCATCAGTCAGGGAACCCCCAAGGGAGACCTCAGAGGAGGAAGGCTCAGAGCCTGGGGATTGGGAAAGGGACAGTGAGGGGAGGTCAGAGGGAGGAGATTGGGAGGAGGAGCTGGATGCTGAAGGGGCAACAAAGTTTAGTGAGCAGGAAGAACCTGTGGAAGAAGCAGTTCAGACTCCAAGGCTGAAGCAGAGGAGGGGCGTCAAGAGACTGATGAGGAATCCAGGGAGTCTCCCTCTCCTGCTGCGACAAGCTCCCCTCCAGCCTTGTCTCCAAGAACGCACAGAATAATGAGGAGAGTGGAACAGAGGCCAGAGATGTTCAGATGCTGTTTGAGACTGCTTGGGAGAGGAGGAGCCTTAGAAGGCAGGGACCTCAGTCCTGACAACTGCTCCACAGGGCCAAGACCTACTGGGAAGTGTCGCTGAGTTGTATGTTCATTTCCTTGAATAAAAAGTTGGCTGAGCACTGACAACTGGCCTTGCTTCTTTGTGCTGACCTGCATCTGACTCCAGCCCTGGCAGCCTGGCCCTTTGTTTCCCCCCTGATCATGGGAAGTGCAGTCTGACCCTAACTCTGCTTAGAAGGAAGTCCCAGTGATCCGGCCAGTGTGCTTTGGGGGCACAGCTATAACACAGTGGTGGAGTGTGTGTGTGTTGTAGGGAGGAGGTCACAAATTTCCAGATATGGCTGCTGGAGGAAATCCTTAGAGAGACACTGTCAGTCATTGATACAAAGCCAGATGGGAGCACTGGCCTAATTCAGTTATAAGGCAGCTTCCTTTGTTCCTATGCTTAGGGTTGCAGCCATGAAGCTCAATTCCACGGATGAATTTGGTGGGGCTTCCTCCCAAGGAAGCATACACAAGATGGCAGCTTTAGGCTTGCAGTCTAGGAGTAGCCACAGTGGCATCATCCATAGAATCACAGAATTGCAGAGTTGGAAGGGATCCCAAAGGTCATCTAGTCCAACCCTCCTGCAATGCAGGAATCTCAGCTAAAACATCCATGACAGGTGGCCATCCAACCTCTGCTTCCAAACCTCCAAGTAAGGAGAGTCCACCACCCTCCTAGAGAGTCTGTTCCACTGCCTAACAGAAGGATCTTCCTACACTTAGTCGGAAGGGCCTCTATGGGCATATATGGGCATTGTTGGCAACCGATGCCACACAGCATGGCATTACCCTGGCCCCCTACTCTAAGTAAGTTGATTTGGGAGCAACAAAAAACAGGACATAAAAACATGCTTGCTCCTGGCTTAATTTCACTAACTACAGTCAATCCAGAAATCTCTTGAGTGTGGCTGTCACAGGAAACTGTGGTTAGTTTACACATTTGTTGCACAGGCAAACAAAAAAATTACACATAACACGGAGCAAAATAACACCGTATTCCGAATCTTGGCTGTCTCTCATAGTGCACTAATATAAACACTGAACCAGATGGACCCCTAATGAAACATTTCTCCCCGTGAGAAATCATCCATCATGTCACTGACATTTTTCTGCCAGGTATTAAAAGAGGAACTACTGAATAGTCATGCAAAGAAGCTATCATCTCATGCAAAAACCTTTCATTGCAATCACATTATATATAGTTAGGATATCAAGCTAGACAAGTCAAGTGTGGTCTTATCTGGAATACTACCAGTCAGCCCCCATTTTCAAGTGGGCCAGTGGCTGCTAAAATGTTAAAGGAAAATACCAGTTTACCATCTTATAGATCAGCCTTCTGCTCTCTCTGTGGCAGTGCCCAGTGCAAGAAAGAAGTGCACCAAACAAGGCAAATTCCTTTAAAATGAATGCTTTTGATTAGGAGAATTTTAAATCTATTGGCAATGGCAAATAGATTTAATGATGTCATGCATTACACAACTGTGGTTACAGCAGGATAAAACCATATCCAAAGTAATTTCACACGGTAATTTCACCTCTAACTGCCTTCCTGTAAAACAACAGTCCAACTTCAGTGATGATTATCTGGAAAATGACTTTACACATTTCACCCAGTTTTCCAAGTTACCATAATTATGTAATCATGTCATGGTGGTTAAAGTTAAGACAGAGATAGAACAGAAAAGAGCACTTAACTTTAAACTGCACAAGGCATTCTTAAGCATCAAACACAGAGGTTTTTAATCCTCAAAGTGAAATGAAATTTCTTCTGTAGTTAGTGGAGCTCTACATCTATTTCAGTCACTCCAAGCCCTTCCCATCCACAAACCAGGTATTATATTTCAACAAAGCAATTTTCAAGGGAAAGACGACCAGTATGCTACAAACAGGAGCAATTACCCCCCACTTTCTTTTTTTAAGCCAACTTTTTAAAAAAAACAAGCACCCAGGCTTCATTCATTCTATCATAGAATGTTGTGTAT